AGAAAAAGAAAAAATAGTTCAACCTAATAACTAATTGTCACTTAATGCTTTATTCTCTCTAATTACACTTTCGGTCTTTTTCTTGCTCTGTTGGTGGAAGTATGTGTTGAATCGTGGGGAAACAATGTATCAGCATATCAGGCAAATGACAGATTACCAGTTCAGCCCTGTATGTAGACCAGAAAGTACAATTGGGTGCTGTGTTCATGCTTATTTAAAAATATAAAATTGTTAATCAGATGATAACGTTGCCTCTAAGAATTTTGTATTAACCCCCTGGAAAACGCAAAGTATTTTGACGCTAGTGGAAAACTTCAGACGCTCCTTCTGTCTGCACAAAGAGCTGGAGGGTTTTTCCAGGAATTGTAATGGGGGTTTTTTTTCGGAGAACTGACAGGACAGTGGGCGGTGACTTTACCTGTTGATCTCTAGTGTGCATAAGATACTGTGGGATGGACCGCGGCAAGAAGTGAAACACTTTAGCCGAAAGCTTCGAAGTTACCCGGATCCGACAAAATCCTGGTCCCTGGTAGAGGTCTCAGGCGCAGGTGTGCCACAGGATAAACTGGTTGGACTGTCACAGTGTCAAAGAGTAACAACGGACTAACGTCTACTCCAACAGTCCAGCAGATATAAAGTGTATGAATTATTTGACCATCCCTAAATGTGTGCCATTGTCACTATATTATGCTGCTATCCTGTATATATTGTACTTATTATTGTCTGAGTACTACGGTTGTTTTATTGTACTTTTTATATTTTACATTTATATTTATTTTGCATTTTGCACCAAGGGAGTGGCACTCCAATTTCGTTGTACTTTGTACAATGACAATAAAGGCTATTCTATTCTTTTCTATTCTATTCTAAATCATCTGTAAATATTTACCAAAGCAAGCAAGAGCAAAGAAATGCATTTTAAAGATATCAAATATTGAGCGCGTTTATTTCTAAATACAGCTGTTTGACCATCAGTTAGGCCAGTTATAAAACTATGTTCAAACCAAAAATGATGAGTTCAGAAGTTACATACCTACGGTGGCGTCTTCACAGAGGAGGCAGTTTCTACAACAGGCGGCTTATACAAAAGGAAGTGTATCAAACGAGGCAGATACCTGTAACAGCTTTGCGCAAGGAGGAGAGTGCTTTTGTTAGCCGAGAATGCGATTGGCTACCAATCAGGTAGTTAATAGCAACGCCCAGGTAAAAAAAAGAAAAAAAGAAAAAAAGAAAAAAAGACATGGACTGTCTGCCACACGGAAAAAGCAGAGAACAGGTCGGCAGGTAAACTGTGACTGAAACTTCTGTGCTAAACAGCGCAGTTAAAGAAAAGCTGGTGCGCACGGTGGAGCATTTAGCAGATAAATATCTACATATTTCCCCCGGGA